TGCCCTTATTTGTTTCTGACATTGCTTTACCTCATCAGTCAAATTTTTTTTAGCAATATTTTTAACTATTTGACAATCTCTTTGTTTGCAAAATGTAATACAGTTTTTGTTAGGATTTATACCAAGCTCTAAATAAACATTTAACAAACCAGTTAAATCATTTATTGAATTTAATAACAGCTGATGCTGCACCTTTCTCTAAAGCAATTTGCCCCACACAAACATTTTTGGACTTCGATTCAAATTTATTGCATTTAAGGCTTCATTATTGTTTCGAGTTTTTCCATGAAGGCACTTTTTAACAAGCTTTTATCTGATAATCTATGAATACTGGTTATGTCCCTAATAACAATAGGCAGTCCAGGTTTTTCTTTATTAACATATGTTTTATCAAATTTATATCCTTTATATTTGTAATTAGTTTGAGGACACATAGCATGTCTTACATCAGAAGATAATGGCTCAGAGTAGTTAAATAATACAGCTTCAATAGCTTTTATTAGTTTATTAACAGATTTCCCACAACATTGACAAATCACAATTCCAAAATAATTTTGTAACATCGCAACTACTGAATGTTATTATATATCAAAAAACTTTTCAGAAGTTTTACTTGCAACTTTTTTACTAATATACAATTTTGTTTACCATAAAAGTTTAATGCAACTCAATAGCAACAAAGAACTTAAACCTTTTTTCTTTTTATAATCTATATTAATATTGATTGAATTGCTCTCAGTCAGGGCATGTTCCAACTAAAGTAAGAGTTTGTACAATTATATTAAGATCAATTAAAACAAAATTAGACTCCTTTCTTCTTACTTTGAAATAGTTTACTTTAGGTTCATTACTGGCAATAACATTGCTGGTTGATGTTGTAAAGTTAAGTAAAATGCTAAATTTTTAGCATTTCTATCAATTAATGACAATTCTTGGCTCGCAGAAGTATCTTTATATTTTGGGAAAAAAATTGCCAAACTTGATTTTTTGAAGTGCTTTTTCTTTTTTTAAACACTCTTAAGGCACCAGTTTTTCTTCTTCTTAAAACTTCAGTTTTCATATTAATTGATTAGAAATAATAAATTTATTTTAATCTACACTGAATAGTTTATAAAACAACAATAAACAATCATACTCTAGATATATTCAACATTAGTAACTGAAATAGATAACATGTGTTTATGTAATGATAGTCAACAAGATAACTGCTTATATAAGTGCTGGTTTAATGTTTTTTACGGCAAAAAAAGAAGCCAAATTCACTTAGTAATTTCTCTAAGAAAATACTTTCTTCAGGGAGTTCAATAAGATGATATACATGGTGTTTACCTTGTTGCTATGCCGTTGCTAAGGAGCAATATTATATAGTACAACTTTTTATATAAAAAATAGACGGTTTTATATAGAATACATCAAAAAAATCGTTTTCAGCATGAATGAAAATGTTAAGAAGTTATATTAAAAAAAAATCAAAAAATTGGAAATTTTTGACCATACTACCACCTTAATGAACATAATATATTTCATTATGTGCATGAAAGTGATAAAAAATAAAATAGCCAATTGTAATTAACTGTATCCGGGACTCAAAAGTGTATTTGTTTATTGCTGCTGGCTGATTTGTTTATTATTTTTTCTAGGTACATAAAATAATAACTACCTCTATCCGGAATTAGGTGTCTTTTTTTTTTGGCTGGAAGCAAATTTGTTTTTTATTTTTTTCAATTATTTCAAAAGGAAATTTAATTTTTATTTTGGCTAAAATAATCAGCATAAAATTCTGCACAAAATAGTGTTTTTACTTTTTTAATTTTTTTGTTGCAAGTCAAAGTTTTTTTTTTCCTTTTTTTTGTTTTTTTAGTTATGAGAGATTTCAAATTGAAATCTTTCATGATTGCATTAGTTTATATATATATTTTTTTATATTTTTTGATTTGTCTTGTAAAGACGTTTATTAATTAAAAAAATTATTCATAAATTCATTATATTAAGGGAGTTATGAAACTTTTTATTAAAACCATCCGGGATTAGGTTACATCCGGAATTAGGGTTACGGTAGTGGCCTCTTGATATGAGGCAAATTTTTTCGGCGGAAGCCATATTGAATACTGGCAAAACATCGTAAATAAGCGATGAAGCTTTGACTTGGTTTTACAAGAAACTATATACTACCTGACCTGTTTAGATTGGTTAAGTGCTTCAGCACATATGCAACAAGTTATTTTCTTTTTAAGAGTTTTAACAATGTAACCAGCTATATAACCAAGTATTGCTTGTTTGTATATCACATATGCAACAAGTTATTTTCTTTTTAAGAGTTTTAACAATGTAACCAGCTATATAACCAAGTATTGCTTGTTTGTATATCAATGTTGAAATCTTTTCTAGGCTATTTGATAAGTTTGCAATTATATTTTTATCTTCATCTTTTAATTCTGTTTTTATCATTAGAGATCTTGTTTTACTCCATTTCAATGAAAATATTGAACCAGCTGAATTTTTTTCAAAAGTGAGACAATTTGCATGCTTTGAACCAATCAAAAAGTTTCTTAAAAGAATTTTTTTGAAGCTTGACTTTAATTGTATAATATTAGGATTATTATTAAATCCATTTTTTCCCCTAATATAAGCAAACAATAGTTCTAAGTGATCTTGAGACACTTTATAGGTCAACACATATTTGAATGAACATTCGGATCTTGATAGTAAATTTATAGACATATTTTGGATACTAGTTGCAGCGACAATGAAACCAAACCAGTTGATTAATTGTTCTTATAAAATCTAATGTTCCTTGAGCATCATGAAAAGAGGGATGACCAGATAGCATTAAAAATTCAATAGCATCTTGTTATGATAATATGAAATATGGAGAATATATATAAATATATATGTTTTGTATGATATTCTATATACTTTATGTATTGTGTTATTTTGTTATAGACTAGTATAATTATAGCTCTTTTGAGCCAACATAATTAATATAGTTATTCTTTACAATCAAAAGAGCTATACGATATACGGTAACCTAAAAAATCTAAAGTCTTAGTTGAAAATACACACTTCTCTTCATTAAATGTAATTCCAGCATCAATGGCAGCTAATCTGAACTTAAGTAGATTTTCATCATGTTCATGACTATTACCGCATATTGTAATGTTATCAATGAAAGGAAAGCAGTCAGTTAGTTTATATTTTCTAACAAAATCATCTATTTTGTATTGAAAGCATGCAGATCCATTGGTAACTCCAAAAGGCATTCTAGTATATTGCCACAACTTATTGTCAGCTTCAAAAGCAGTATATGGTCGATCTTTTTTTGATAAAGGGATTTGGTAGTATGCTGAGCGAAGGTCGAGAGTACTATAAATTTTGTATTTAGAAATTATATTCACAATCGTTTCAATCTTAGGTAGAGGATATGCATCTAATTGAGTATATTTATTAATAGTTTCAGAGTAATCAACAAGCATGCGACGTTTAGTCTTTTCATTTACTACTAAGACCTGGGCACGCCAAGGTGAATTACTAGGCTCTATTATTGCTGCTTGAGTCAGGCAATGGATTTCAGATTTAATAAATTCTTTATCTCTTTGAGAATAATTTCTAGATCTAGTGGCAATCGGTCGACAATCTTGCGTGAGATTAGCAAATAATTCAGGAGGTTCAGTTTTCATTGTTATTAAAGCAGCAAATGTTATGGGTGGTCTTTTCCCACCATACTTGATGGTAATACTTTCATGCAACTCTTGAAAATCTGTGCCAAGAATAACATCTACACATAAGTTATCCAGCACATGCAACTTGACTTTGTTATAGATTTTGTTTTGAAGAGTTATTGAGATTTATAACAATATCCATCTGATTTTGCAGATAAGGCAGCTGATGCCATTCCAATTACACTCTGTTCATAAATAATATTTAAATGGAGTAGAGTCACTAGTTTGTTGCTTATAAAACTTTTGTTTGTACTTCCACTATCAATTAATGCTTCTGCTTTATATCTATCATTAATAATGATGTTATGACAAACTCTGAATAGAGAGTTTGCTGAAGCTGATATGGTGGCACAGAAGTAATCATCATCAATTTTAGGAATAGCAGCAGAAACATTAGATGATCTGCAAAGTTTTTCAAAATGACCAATCTTTTTACATTTGTGACAGATAGCTTCGCGAGCAGGACATTTAGTACGTGGATGTCTTATGTTTCCACAAAACCAGCACAATTGTTTTGATTTTGCTGTAGCAGCTAAGTGATTATTAGTCATGGACTGTTTTTGTAAAGGTGATTTGATTTCCTGAATAGAGGCAGAGGTAGGTATATTCAATTGTGAGTAAAAGGTTGAGTTTTGTTGGGCCACGTCTAAAGATCTAGCTTGGTCAAAGGCTGATGAAAGGTCTAATATTTTGTTTTCTAGTAAACGTTGGCGTATACTATTGGAGAGTAAGCCATTTATAAACGCATCGCGAATCATTTCAGATTTATATTGCTCAGCTGTAACAGCAGTGAACTTACAGTCCTTAGATAAATTTTTAAGTTCATTGAGGAATTGATCTATTGTTTCACTTGGTTTTTGCTTCCGTGTTGACAAAATGTGTCTGGCAAATATTTCATTCTTTGGTTTTATGTAGATAGACTCGAGAATACTTGTTGCTTGTTCAAAATCATCACATTCTGATATGAATTCATATACATTAGGTTCAATATGGTTTATTAGAAGATTAAGCTTAATGAAGTTATTATCTACTGTACTTACAAAATTGTTAAATGTTCTTAACCAATGGTTGTATGTTTTTGCTGCATCTGCTGAGTTTGGATCTATACCAAGTCTGTCAGGTTTCATGAATCGATCCATCTTTCTTTTATTTCATAATAATATTCTAGCTCTTTTGATTTATAGTATGGCTCTTTAAAACCAGATCCTCAGAGACTTGCTCCTCTCATCAAGTTGCCCCCACCTGATTCCCCCACCAAAGTCTTTACAGCGAATTATTGGAATGTTTTCGTACTATGCAAAATGGATAAGAAAGTTTTCAGATAAAATTAGACCTTTAAACTCTGTTACTCAATTTCCACTCAATCAGCAGCAAATATCAGCATTTGAAACATTAAAAAATGAACTTGTTCAATTTTCCATGCAAACCATTGATGAGAATATACCTTTTACTGTGGAGACTGATGCTTCTGATTTTGCCATATCCGCCACACTTAATCAGGATGGAAGACCTGTTGCCTTCCATTCACGTACCCTTCAAGGGAGTGAACAATACTATTCATCAGTGGAAAAAGAAGCTCAAGCGATAGTTGAAGCCATAAATCATTGGCGTCATTTTCTTTTGGGTCGACATTTCATTCTCATCACTGACCAACGATCTGTAGCGTATATGTATGATTATAAATCAAGCAGTAAAATAAAGAATGATAAAATAATGCGTTGGAGAACAGCTTTGTCTCCATATTCTTATGATATCCATTATCGTCCTGGCCAATGTAATAGTGGTCCAGATACATTTACTCGAGTTAAATGTGCAGCAATAAGTTCAGAATCTTTATATAATTTGCATGCTGCAGTTTGCCATCCCGGTGTTACTCACTTCCATCATTTTATTCGATCAAGAAACCTCCCTTATTCAGTAGAAGATGTAAAACAAATATGTAGGGATTGTAGAATATGTAGAGAAATAAAACCCAAGTACTACCGCCCAAATGATGTGCACCTGATTAAGGCGACTCAGCCATTCGAACGTATATCTATTGACTTCAAAGGCCCATTACCTTCTTCAACCCCTGAACAGTATATGCTAACAATTGTAGACGAATACTCACGTTTTCCATTTGCTTATCCTGTGAAAGATATGACAACTCAGACAATAATAAACTGCTTAGCTGATCTTTTTTCAATGTTTGGAATGCCTAGCTATGTTCATTCGGATCGTGGATCCTCATTAATGTCTTCTGAATTAAAGCACTGGTTCTTATCAAAAGGGATCGCAACTAGTAGAACAACCCCTTACAATCCGACTGGAAATGGGCAAGTTGAAAGATACAATGGAATTATTTGGAAGACGATATTACTTACTCTGAAATCTCGAAATCTGCCTATATCATCATGGAAAAGAGTTTTGCCTGATGCACTTCATGCTACAAGATCTCTATTATGTACTTCTACTAATTGTAGTCCACATGAACGTTTTTTTTTAATTTTCAAAGAAAATCATCATCTGGGTCTTCAATTCCTTCATGGCTTGTTAACCCTGGACCTGTACTTATAAAAAGAAATGCAATGCAAAGTAAATATGAAAATGCAGTGAATGAGGCTCAGCTCATTGAAGCAAATCCTCATTATGCCATTGTGAGATTTCCTAATGGTCATGAGACTACAGTGTCTACAAAACAACTGGCTCCTATCGGAACAACTCCTATAGTACAAACATCAAATGACGATTTAGAAATAACAGCTATTGATAACTACCCCTTAACCCCTAATGGTAGCAATGAAACTCCGTTAGTCTCCGAAGAGGAACTAGAAAGCAGAGGGAAACCTATAGAGCAAAGTACTCTGCCTCCTCGTAGATCTTCACGAATTTCTAAAGCACCAGAAAAACTCAACTTATAAATACACCTGAACACTTTAAAGAGGAGGGTGAATGTTATGATAATATGAAATATGGAGAATATATATAAATATATATGTTTTGTATGATATTCTATATACTTTATGTATTGTGTTATTTTGTTATAGACTAGTATAATTATAGCTCTTTAACATAATTAATATGGTTATTCTTTACACATCTGCTACAGAATTACTTGTGTTTGGGCAGCTATTTTTACATTCATTTTATGCCAGATAGCATTAAAAATTCAATAGCATCTGCTACAGAATTACTTAGTGTTTGGGCAGCTATTTTTACATTCATTTTATGCCTATGAAAATTAATATGGCTATTTATTATTATTCTAGATAGATGGTACAACATTTGCTTTTAAACGAGGTTTCTTTGCATTTTCATAATTGTAATCTTCTTTATGAAAGTGAACACTACATATATAACTATATTTTGTAGGAACAAATGAATCACGTTTTGTTGCCACAACCCATTTTTGGCATAGCTATTATTTAAAGGGAATTTATGAAACGATATCGCAACACCTTTATTAAATCGGTTCACACAACCATAAGCAGAGCACGATATAACCATTCCTTTAGTAATAAAAGTAAATTTTTAAAAAATATTATAAATTTTTTTTCGCGTGTTTTGCCAGTATTCAAGATGGCTTCCAATAAACAAATTTACCTCACAACCGCGGCTCGAGTTAGATATCTAGTTAATATATATCATTGAATGTACCAAGGCCTTCTTAAACAGGCCGTGACAGCTCAATTTCCGTAAAATTAGCGAAGGCCGACTTTTTTACGGAGAATTAAAGTTTCAATGAGGATTTTGGTTGTTTGAATTAAACTATAAGTTATGGATTAAAAAACTTCCAAATGCAAACTTTGTGTTTACAGATTATAAGCGAATTTGTGCTCAGCACTGGCCTAAAGATGCAGAATTAAAAAAAGTCAAAGGTGGTAGTTTTGTTCCAGTGCATCCTCCATCAGTCTTTAAAGGTAGGTACGCGCATTTACGTCATTTACTGAACCGATTTTTGTGATAAAATCTTGTGACTCGTTTTTTTCACTTTTTTTTAGGCAGCGTGGGGTAGACGTAGTTTTGTGGAGTTTCTTTTTAGAAACATATATACACATAGATACTTTTTGGAAAGAAGAAGCCACCTTTATACATGTATTTTCTATTTATGTGCCAAATTTCAACGAAAAAATATTAGGGAGCAGATATGTAACGAGGTGCTTTTTTAAATATACTGCTTTTTTGAAGTAGGGTTAGACTAACGTTTTTAGTGGTGTTTTTTTTTAGAAACATATATAAACAAAAAGTATATTTGGAAAGAAGAAAGGTTAGGCTTGATTTTTATAGTACTTTTATTTATAACCACTAAACTTTTTTATGGTTAGTTTTGCTAAAAACTTTCGTGAAAATTTCATTGATGTTCTCACATTAAGTTCTTATCGAAGGAATGAAGTTTCCGCTTTTTTTGTTATTCAGGAACTTTTTTGCATGCATTTTCTTTGTACATGCCAAATTTCAGCCAAAAATATTAGGGAGCAGATAGTATAAGAAGTGTAGGACTTTTGGTACCTAAATTCGTTTTTTTTTGTTTTTGTTTTTGTTTTATCGGTAAGAGAAATACGGGGAGGATAGGGGGGGTGGCGAATGGTAAACAAAAAAATTCTTACTACATTGTATTATTTAATTTTTAATATTAGATTATTTTAATAAATAAAAAATGGTAAAAGTCATAACAAAGAAGACTTCAAAAAGTAAGTTAATTTCTTTTTCATGATAATAACAAAGTTTGTTTACATCATCATGAAGTAAACAAAGATTAAGGTTTTTAAACTTATCATTATTGTTTTGTTATTTAAAAAATTTATAAGTTTTAAAACATTCATCTTTGTTTACATATCATCATGATATGTAAACAAAGATTAAGGTTTTTAAACTTATAGTATAAGTTTAAAAACCTTAATCTTTGGTATAAGTTATACCAATGATAGTATATATTAAAAAAGATTAGGATTTAAGATTAAACCGCTACTTTGGAATATTTTATTAACTAATAGTATCAGATGCCAATGTTGTAAATACACCATATATATAAAAATATACAAATGACATTATTATACTTTAAAGTAAAACTTTATTGGCTTAAACCAATACAGTTTTTGACAAAATATTTTTAGAATAATATTATTAATGATAATTTTAGAATAACATTATTATTTTTTTAGAATAATATTATGATTTTATTGATATTTTAAGAATAATATTATTATTGATATTTTAAAATATTATTATTATTGATATTTTTATATGAATAAGCTTATTATTAATAAGCTTATTTTTGTAAAATTACAAAGATACTTTTACAATAATATGTTTATTCTTATAAAAGTATCTTGTTAGTGTTTTTCTAATATACAGTAATATAATTTTAAAATACAGTAATATAATTTATGTTTTTTATTATTTTTTTTATTGCTTTTTTTTTAGTTACATAGGTTGTTGTACGTAAAGCAGAACTGATTTGATAACTGTTATTTTTATTGACTGTTGACAATTTCAAGATATTTTTTTTTTTTTGATTTTATAACTTTTTTGTTATCTTTAGGCCAATTTGCACAGACTACAGCTGGTAAGTTATTATAGCATAACTTCAATTAACCATTAAAGAAATATACATAAATATGCATTTCTTACTTATTTATTTATTACTTGTCGTGTATGGATTTCCCATTTGCTGCAATATTAATTTTTTAATTTTAGTATCTACCTCTTGTACTACACCTGGTAAGTTACATAACTCTTAATTTTTAATTTGCAAACTTTACAATATGTTTAACTTTAGTTCCTTAGTCAGCTGCTGCAACTAGTAATTTAAAAAAATAATAAATTTAATATGTGTATGCATTTCTCGTTATTTGTAATATTGATTTTTTGTTACAACTTTGTAATTTTAGTATCTACCTCTTGTGCTACACCTGGTAAGTTAAACAACTATTAGTTTTTAATGTGCAAACTTTATAATATGTTTAACTTTAGTTCCTTAGTCATCTTTTGCAACTAGTAATTTAATAAACTATTACATTTAATATGTATATACATTTCTTGTTATTTGCTATATTGTTTTTTTGTTACAACTTTGTAATTTTAGTATCTACCTTTTGTGCTACACCTGGTAAGTTAAACAACTATTAGTTTTTAATGTGCAAACTTTATAATATGTTTAACTTTAGTTCCTTAGTCATCTTTTGCAACTAGTAATTTAATAAACTATTACATTTAATATGTATATACATTTCTTGTTATTTGCTATATTGATTTTTTGTTACAACTTTGTAAATTTTTTTTAAAATAGTTAGTATAATAATTAAGTCAAGATTTGTGGCTTGCAAATAGGTACAGCAAGTTTTGTAGCTTGCAAATAGATACAGCAAGTTTTGTGGCTTGCAAATGTGTACCGCAAGTTTTATGGCTTGTAAATAGGTACAGCAAGTTTTGTGGCTTGCAAATAGGTACAGCAAGTTTTGTGGCTTGCAAATAAGTACCGCAAGTTTTATGGCTTGCAAATAAGTACCGCAAGTTTTGTGGCTTGCAAATAGATACAGCAAGTTTTGTGGCTTGCAAATAGGTACAGCAAGTTTTGTGGCTTGCAAATGTGTACCGCAAGTTTTGTTGCTTGCAAATAAGTACCGCAAGTTTTGTGGCTTGCAAATAGGTATAGCAAGTTTTGTGGCTTGCAAAAAAAAAAGATAGGCGGCTCTGGCTTACCTTCACGTGGTGTCTATTGTTAAAAATGATTTATTTAGTTGCATTGGAACTTAATTTAAATCATTTACTAAAAGCCAAGACATAAATTAATTACTATGTTTCGAAACATTTGTTTTTTTGTTTGTTTGTTTTTTATAAGGTTGGTTGGTTAAATATGATTATTTAAATGAGAAAATGTATACTCGTGCAATCTGGTAAAACAATTCTGTATTTTGCTTTCTTTTTTTAATAATTGCATGCGAAAATGTTGAAAATATCATTTCTATGTGTTTTCTTTTTTACGTTGGTTGAGGGGAAGGGGGAAAACCATTCCTCTCCTCAAATTGTACATCACTAATGTATGTTCTATAGAAAAAAAATATTGCTTCATGTAATACAACAATATTTTCAATACTAATGTATGTTGTATAGTTATAAAAGATTATTTTTTCTTTTTAACAATACATTTGATTATTGAAATAAAGATGACGTTATTTTTTGTTAGGTAGGGAGGGGGGGAGAAGTGGTGCATTAGACTTCCTTTATTTAAAGTCAATGTGTGCATCAATAATATATGTTGAATAGTAATAAAATATTATTTTTACTTGTTAACATTTAGTTATTGTAATAAAGATTTAATTATTTTTATTTTTTGTTATGCGTTGGGGCAGGGGCGGGGGAGGGCGGTGCGACATACGCCCTTCCCTAAAGTTAGTGTGCACATCACTAATGTATGTTGTATAGTAAAAAAATATATTTTTACTTTTTAACAAAATATTTAATTACTGTAATAAAGATTAAATTATTTATTAGAATGTATGATTATTGTATTAGGGTGTTATAACATCATAACCACATCTACGGCCAACTCTAAGATCACCTTATTTTGTTTGGCAGTGTTCTGGAATCAAGTTATGGCAATATTTTATGCATAAAATCTAACAATTACATTAAAAAAGTGCTTATTTTTGACAAAAACTTGTATTTTCTTAAGGGTTAGATGGTGTTTCATTACCCCCTCTGGCTCCCAAGATACACCCTACGTCCAGGCACCTATATGAACTTGTAGCCCATTAGTGCACCTATCTTTTGATACCAAGATATAGATATTTGGATAAAAATTGACAAAGTTATAATAATTTAAGTGAAAAAAATAATTATTTTGACCACAGTTTCTTCAACAATTCCATATATCTTAAATTTGGTACTAAAAACGTTATAACTTTTTTTAGAATTGTTCGTTTTTAATAATTTTTTCACCTTTAAAATACTGTATTAAAGGCCTTTCTAATGATATATAACATTGCACTATATGATTAATTTAAAAATTTCAGTGCGCGTACCTATTAAAGGTATACCAGTGTCTTGTATTCCAATAGTGTCTAGAAAACGAGATGTCACTGGGTTAATATGCTCTGAAAGAAATAATTTACCTGATGAGTTCGAAAACTTCAAAAAAATGGACGTTATTAAATTTAATTCAATTGTAAAAAATTTGAAGTCAATAATAAATAACTGTGAAGAAAAATTTTATTTTGTTGAAAAAGAAAAAAATATATCTTTAATATCATATGAACATTGTGGACCAGTACCTAAGTTTTCAATATATATAACTTTAGAAGATTCTGGAGATATTTATTTTACTGGATAAAGCCAACTTTTACAAATTAAACTGTCTTTTTTAAACAAAGGAGTTAATAAATATTATTCTCAACTGGAGAATGCTGTTAGTTATGTTATTAATAATGAAACAGATTCTAAGCGAGCAAGTTATATTAGGCATCAAGTAGCTTTATTAAATAAAACAAACAATACACCATTTTCTTTAGAAGACATTTCTGATGCATTGCATCTTTATTCAAAATCTCGTTTAGTATATTTTGATCTCGTTGAAAAGCTTGTTTTGCTACAAATTTTACAACAAATTTTCAAACAAGCGTGATAGAAGAGATAAATCAACAAATCATAATTGCAGGTGGAAAGCCTCTTGGGTTAATAATGGATAACTGTTGAGTAAACCAAAAAACATTTCAATATTTTAATGCAAAAAAAGTTCCAGCATACTATCTTTTAAATGACACTGTGCATATTTTAAAATGTATTCGAAATAATTGGATCACTGAACAATTACAATATTTAAAATATAGATTGCTAAATGATAACGATACTGTGCGACTTGCAGAATGGAAATTTATAATTCAACTTCATGCTGCAGATAGTCGAATAGTTAAGTTGTCACCCTTAACACAAAAAGCTGTGTCACCAAAACCGATTGAGCGACAAAATGTTGGATTAGTTCTTAAAGTTTTTTGTGATGAAACAGTTGCAGCATTACATGTATAATTTCCTGAAGCTGAAGATACTGCACTTTTTATTGAAACAGTTGTTAAGTGGTGGCTTATTGTCAACAGTAAAGCAAAAGGTCTAGATATTAGATTAAATGATATTCGAAAAAAGCCTATTTCTGCAGTCAATGAATGGCAAATAGATTTCTTAGAGAACTATATTTCGTATTTTTGCTGAAAATTTGAAATGTGTAAATTCAAAATTAAGAGAGAAAAAGTTAACAATGGATACTGCAAGTGCTTTGCAAAAAACTTCTAAAAGATTAGCAAGCTGTATCAAGTATTTGTTGAATTGCAGTGTATCTTATGTATTGTTAGGACATATGCAATCAGATGCACTAGAAAAACAGTTTGGGAAATATCGGCAAGGGTCAGGTGGCACATATCTGATAACTGTGCAAAATGTTATTCAAAAATTTAGAATCGACAAAACTAGAAAGTTGCTAGACAAGCATACAGATTTCACAATATTTCCTCCTGCTCACCACGACTGTGATAAGTGTGAATTTTATGTTGAGTTTAATATGTCAATATGTGAAAATTGTGAGGATCACTTGCCAAATGAATGCAAACAAGGGCTTTTATATATTGCAGGTTTTATTGCTTACAAACTTCCAGAATTACACTCAATTTTAGAAGAAAGAGACACCTTTGATATGTTTCAAAAATATGGAACTTTGATCAGTTCTTTGAACAGGGGAAGCCTTCTGACAATTTAGTCTACTTTGTTTTTTATTGTTTTTTTATATTTGAAGTGACACTTGTGAATAAAGTTTCACCATTGCTGTGCAAGAAAGGAATAATTGACATTTTTATTAACTGCAATAGTAAATTTCAATTGCTTGTTCAAAAAGTTTGCTGCATTTTGGCAAACATTTTTTTAAACAATTATTGTAAAAAACACTCTAAAGATTTTGGGAAGGAATGATTAATAAAACAAGCAAAACTTTTAACTTCAAAATAAAACACTTTGAGTCAGTAAAGTCAAAATAATTTTAATAAAATAAAGTTAATATATTTGTTTGTTTTTATCAAAAAATTTATTATTTGTATTACAAGTGTTAAACAGCTAAAATAAACATATAGTTATAAAAACGAGATTTAGTCATTTTTAGCTAAACTCCTTAAATTTTTATTGTAATTAACTTATTTCTAAACGTAAAAAAAATTCCTACAATATTTGCTTTCGAAATTCAATCAATATGTTTTGTCCTAATAAAGCCCTTTATTTGTTTCTGCAAAAGCAAAGATAAAAAATAATTTTAACCGTAAAAAAGTCGGCCTTCGCTAATTTTACGGAAAATGAGCTGTCGCGGCCTGTTTAAGAAGCCTTGTAATGTACATAAGAGTGCAGTGAAAAAATTAAAAGTGGAATATTTATATGTAATAGCAAGAAAAAAGTTGTTTTTAAGTAAGTGTTTAAACATTGAAAAAAAAAAGTTTCAAAATTTCAATGTCTTCAGCTGTCTCATAGGGGACAAAGTTACTAAAAAGAGGTCTTTTTCATGAAAATTGACTGTTTTAGTCAATTTTTTTTTTTTATTAAAGATTATACTTTTTTGTCAAATTCTTTCAGAAAAAACTGTAATAATTAAAAAGAATGAAATATATCGCGACGTTAGAATTATCTTGTTCTATCTCCACATTTTTTGGTTTTGAGATAAAACGATTTAAAAAACGAAAACTTTAGGAGACGGCGTATAAATTTTTTTTTATAACTAATGTTTTTTCCGCACCTTTTTTACTTATAACTTAGGTTTCAATTCAGTAGAAAGACATTATTTTGAGGAACACAACACTGTCATTAACTCAATTTTTTCAGAAAGTGGAGATAAAACAAGATAATTCTAACGTCGCGATATCGCGATTGATTGTGTATGTCAAAATAATTAATGAATAGATATATTTGTTTCACCCTTTAACTTGATATAGACTTGCTGACTTGCTAACTTGCTAATCTGCCACAGTGACGGAGAGAGGGAAGGGAAAGCTTTTTTCAGAAAGTGGAGATAGAACAAGATAATTCTAACGTCGCGATATTGCGACGTTAGAGTTAAAGGGTGAAACAAAAATATCTATTCATTAATTATTTTGACATCACAATCAAGTTTTAGAAAATCTGTTATTACACTCTACCAATTTATTGGTTCGGAAGCACGATGTTCTGACTTTGTGTTAAACACTGGCATTATGAGACGTGCATGTAAACGCCATCGGATAAAACCATCTCAAGATTTTTCTCGACATACAGCCAGCGAAGCCTCAGTTACGAGCTTAACACACCGCTCCACTGGTTGAATATTGCATGGAAGTCTTTCAAACTCAATTATTGATTGTCCGCCACTTTCCAAAAACAGTTGAATATCTTCCTCGGACACATCAGCTGTCAACGGTGGCTCGGTTATTTTATTTTCTTTCCAGTTGGTGAGTTCTATGTAATCATGTGCATCTAAGTTAAGCTTTGGTAAACTGAAAATACGCAGTGCGTGATCTTTTTCCTGTCGCGTTTTAAGAATGCGCCTTAATCCTAAATCACGAATTTGTTGGTGTTAATCACTAACCATTGCTAGTAAGAGATTTTTTAGATGACCAAAATAGCCGTTACGTTGTAATACAGGATCTACTATATCTCGCAGTTCCTGCGATGAATAACGTGACGGTTGAATAATTTTAAAAAGATGCCGCGCACCATCTTTGCATGAAGGATGCATCTTAATACTAAACCAAACAGGAGAATAAACTCTTACGACATAAGTTACTAAATGGATTTGTTGGTGGATCCTAGCTCGCCACATACAACCGTAGAAGTCTATTCGCTGTTGTCAGCCATCGAGAGGGATTTAGTACCCCTGGAGTTTTTTTTGATAGGGCTAGTAAACACTCATCTTTGGATATTGCTTTGCACATTTCCCACATATATTTTTGACCTGTGCTCAAATCTTTAAGTTCAACTTTGGGAAGAGTTACATCAATCTTTTCAAATTCAACAACCGGTAATATCTCATAATAAATAAGTGCCTTACAAATTGGGCCAGAAAATGCTTTTCGTTATATAGTTGATTCATCCAATTATAATATAAATTAGCAGATGTCGAAGAGGATGTTCGTTTGCATACAAAAGGCAAACCAACCATTGCAACGGTTAATTATATTCTTTGTCTATCAACCTTATTGCGCCACTCTTAATTCCTGTGTTTACGACAGTTCCGTCACATCCAACTGCTACAAACTTTTTAACGTCATTATTTTTGATAGTTATAAAGTTGACTATAGAAATTTTTATCAAATAGGCAGACGATTCAAAAGGTGATAAATGCCCAAGGTATTTAGACCCTGGTTTTTCGATTAAAGAGATAACCCTTCCTTGATGTTTTCAAGAGTTTTGTCTTTTCGTCCATTAAAATTAATTCCACGAACTATTTTTGAATTTTTAGAAGTTTTTAGTTGATCACGTTTTCTCTTACGCTCCCGTCGTATTTTACTCGGATCAACAACATAAATGGTATTTTGTTAATTAACAACACCAAAGTCTTCCAAAACTGCATTTGCTATTGCAGCTCCGGCTCTATCTGAGATCCCATACCGGTCACAGACGTTTGCTAATGCAGGAAGTGGTTGCCGACATTGAAAATACAAAGAACTAATAATGTCAATGGAAGAAACATCGGAAATATTACCTTTATTAATGTAATTATCATCTTCATCACTTTGAGCTGTAGATTGACTTTCAAAATCACCAACCGTAGACACAGATAAGGCATTGCAATGCTTATTTCTACGTCGCTGCTCAATACTTTTTCTTTTGAACTTCATGGCCAGTTTATTTGATGCAAGTTTATCAACATTGCCAATGCACATCAATTTGAGAGTTCTCTAATCTTGGATAAAATTTTGCTCTGCAGGAGGAACCTTGCGAGTTTTGTTACATACAAACTTCTCAAACACACACTTACAGATGTCAAACAACTTATGTCTAGCATCTTCTTTAAAAGCGTTTACTTTGCTATCATAATTACTGCGCTTGATGTTTCGCAATAGTTTTATGTATTAATCATGATAGGAGCGAATCATCTTTAATACCAGTGTATGAGTAATCGTCGGTAGTGACGCTTTTAACCATATTTTTTCAACAACTTGTGCAACTTTTTCAGAGATTTCTGTTATAGTAGGTTCTTTCGTAGCAGCTGTTGGTTTCAGTTGATGTTTTACAAGCAAGTAATATTTCATTACCTCTTCATATGTTGGTAAAACAACTTGCGACATCTCTTTAGGTATAGAAAGACAGGATAAGTCAGCATTATCCTCGTTCTCACTAACCTAATGGCCATTAAAACGTGGTCTATAATAAGCAAACTTTATATTAGATTCATAAGTAATTATTGATTTATACATTAATCTAGCAAGTGATAATTAAAAGCTAAACTAAAATATCAAACATTAGTAACGATTTCTTGATATGTAAAGACATATTGAGAAGTATTAAAAGAAATATAATGAACCGCTTAGATAATTATTTCTAAATAATAACTAAAAAAAGGTTAATAAAACACATTTTACGTCATTATAACATAAAGTTAACAAAAGGGAGACATAAAAAAATGTTTTTTTTATATGTATTTTTGTTTGAAATAACTTTGTTATGCAATTCAATGAAAATTAATTTTCCAATTCAATTGATCAAGTCTTTTCTTCCATTTCATTGCGCAAATTAAATGCTTGTTCAAACTGTTGTTCTCCATTGTAGCGAAATGTATACAAACTTAATCATATAAAAACGACAGACTTGCTCAGATAACTGAAAATTTCATTAAAGATGGTGACTTAGCAACTTCACGGTAAATTTTACACCTGGACAAGCTTAAAACATTTAATTTTTAACATTTATTGAACAGTTATAAAGGTGAAATAACCAAGACAACCAAAACAGGTTAGGTGAAACCAATGGCGAATTAAGACTTTTCAGAGCCCTTTTTTATGTGTCACTGCGTGAAGATAACTAAAAAAAAGCTTCTTTTTTTATAAAGTTGATTTTAGGTGCCCCAAGAAGTCCATACGGTCTCATCTCAGAGCACCGCGGAAGAACATTTAATAGGAAGTTCACGCCTCCTTCCCAACCGATGTCGCAAAACTTGCCAAACTTGTAAAAAGAACTAGACGGTGTAATTTATATGGTGGTAGCTCTTCTGATCTTTTATTACAGATCTATCAACTTATGGTAATGTAGCAAGATTTTTCTACAAATTAAAAGATTTAGATGGTATTAAAGACAAAAATGTTATTATTCAAAGAACGCTTTGTAGTTTTAAAGAAATATGGTTCAATTGCAATTCCAAATTAGTTTTGTTACCTGAAAAAAGTTTGATTGTTAAACTTTTAAGATTTTGTAATAATGTTATTTCTTGGAATGGAAATAAAATTAAACCTTTGACCAAAAAGTTGTTGGAAAAAAATAAAAACTTTTTGATCTGCTAGCATGTAACTACAAGCTTGAAGTTCTTCCTTGTGATGATAGGAATATCAAATGCTCAGGTTATTCAAATGTGCATCTTTACTGTAGTTGTGTTGGTAGTAAAAAAGTAAGTTATACAAATTTAAAGTAATTTATTTTAAATTAAACTTTAAATAACTTTCTTAATTTTTATTGATAAACGTTTTTATATTTTATTATTATTTTTTATATTTTTAGATAATAATACGTTTTACACAAATTAATTAAAAATAATATTTAAAACCAGAAATATTTATTTAGGTTCCTTTGGAAGAGCGCTCCTATATAAAAGACCAAAGGGAGAAAATTGGTACTAAAGGAAAGTTTCAAATAGGAGGTATCGATAACTCTGTTTTATCATCTTCCTCAAGAAAAACAAAGCAAACAAAAGCTTCTGATAAAGAAATTTATATTAAAGAGTTTGACACAATCATGGATTCAGATCAGGTAATAAATTTTGACCTGAAAACTTTGATTGTATGATAAAAACTATATATATTCTTAAATTTCTTAATTCTTTTAAATATAATGCTCCAAAGTTAATTAGAGCATCTTAAATGTTAAAACAATTAAATGTAAAATTTTAATTGTTATGGTTTTTAATTTCTGGAAGTTTTGTTGTATTTTTTTCTATAATTACAGAGTGAAACTTCAATTTCATCATTAAATCAGACTAGATCAAAGTACTATAACACTACCCACTATCTCAAATTTGCTTTAAAGGTAATTAGATGTGGAATACCAGGTGAAGCAGCTGCCGCTGTAGCTAATGCTCTACTTCAAGATATTGGTTATCTACATCTCAATGATATAATTGACCCAAGTAAAATGAAGAGAGAGAAAGAACGAGTATGCTTTAATCCTAGTTTTGAGCAATCTAAAGTTTCAAATTTAAAGGCGATTGGTTTAGATAGCAAACGTAATAAAAACTCATTGGTTTATGAACAGAGAGATATTGACGGTGAAATAAAACTTTGTAAATATACCAGCATTTATTCAGCGGATTTTGAGGTTGGATACTGAAGTTCAAAATATTACATTGCCCATAATTTATAGAAATTCTTTTTGTCTCCAACCTTAAAATTTTATTGCTGCTCTACTTTATTCTGAAGAACAGGTTTATAGAACAATTGCTGTTGTTAAGATTTTGGAAACAAGAAAAACCCTAATTAAGGATCCTAAAAATGGATTAAAAGATGGTATTAGGGTTAATGCCATTCCAGTTATTGATTGTAGATGTAAAAACTGGTCAAAAATAATAAATTTGTATGATATAGACTGTTTTGAGCCCCCTTGTGTGGAAGATATATCAAATGAGGAGCTTTTGAATATGATTCCAAATCAGGGAAAGACTCCCAACTTTCCGTGCCACTCACAAACGGTTGAAAGAGCAGTGAAAATGACTTCTGATGCTAACGGAAAATTAATTAACCTCAAGAAAAGAAATGCTGATATTCTAGCTAAATGCCAAAGTCAAAAGAAATGAAAATATTTTAAAACAAAGAAAGAATATCCGTTGTAATTTGTTATCATTTCTTTAAACTACTTTATTTGGTAATGTTTGTTTATTATTATTATTAATTTGATTCAGCAGTAAAAGTATAATATATTTAGTAGTAGTCAAAAAGGGCATAATTAAATCTTGTATTTTTGGGTGAAAGGGGGGGAGGAGGATTGTTAACACCTGCCCGGCCATCTAGTCACCACCTGTAAAAATAGTTTTCTTCTTTTGCTTCTGTATATTAGAATAAATCCTGATAAAAAGTTCTGTAACAACATAACATTGTTCTTTATGTTAAAATCCGTTTTTCAGTTAATGGCTAATGATTATAGAAAACCGCTTATTGTTTTAGTTATTTTTCCAATAGCGTAAAATCAAACTAGTCAAGTAAACTAATGTTTACTTGACTAAGAAGGTGCTTATTACACGAGAGGGGACATTAAATAATTATTGGAAAACTTTCACACCGACAGCGAGTTTATTAAAAACCCCCGTGTAGTTTTTACAAGCCCTTAAAGAATTATTACATTTTATTTAAAAAAAAACAATGTATTCAAAATGTAAATCAGAAAATACATGTTATTCTTCATCATTATCTTGGTCCATTTTCTTTAAGAAAGCAGCCTTTTTTTGTTTAACACGATCTTGTTTCTGAGCAAGAGACATCTTCTTTCGACCCCATCTACAACAGATTTTAAACATAATCAGGAAAATATAAGAAAACAAAATTAAACTTTTTAATTAAGACTCTATAATAAACAAAACCTATATTATAGCTTATTTACTTATCGAAGCTAGTATAGAATTATAAAAACATAAATGGTTTTAGCAAATAATAAAAAAAAAATAAACATAAAATAATTTATATTAAAACAAATTCATAAACTTTAGAATAGGTGTCAAATCAGGCAAGCTATGTACCCATCAATCAAAAAACAAATATAAAGGTCAAGTCAGAAGACATCAACCTTAAATTTGAATATTACTAAAAACCAACAAGGTTTCTTTAACATTGCTTTTTCTACTTTTTATTGGTTCTCTAATTGAGGATCCACGATTAAAAACTCACCTCTTTCCTTTAAAGTGTTTCTTTTCTGAGGGTTTAGAAGAAGGATCAGCTCGAATAGCTGCATGACACTTTTTGTACATTGCTTCAATCTAATTAACAACATCAAAATAAACTAATTTATTAAATTTAGCTACATTTGTCTAAGAATTAACTATTTAATTATAGAGCATATAGTTGTATAGAACACAAATTAAAAATGGCACATACAGTTCCAGGAGTTACTCCTTCTTTGATATATTGTGAAAATTGTCTTTTAAAGGCTTCTTCATCTTCTTCTTGTAGCGATGTCATGTAATCAGCAACATTTTTTCCAAATATATGATTACGATGTACTTCAGCATTTAAAGCTTTTCCAGCATCGTCATACCCAGGAAAACGACGAGTACTAATAAGCAAAAAATGTTTTAGGTTGCTTAACTGTAGAACTACCTTAAGGCGGACATGTATTTCAGGTACCCCTCTTTTGCAAGCATGTAAAAAGTTTTTTATGAAACAAATATTTGTAAACCATACCCTAACTATTAGGGCTAGGCTTAGGGTATGGCTTTCAATAAAATAAACTATATTGTTTGGTTAAGGTAAGAGTATAGTTTTCAATGAATATGTGTAAAACATGATTTGTTTTGTATGAACTAACTTAAGGGGGCCACCTGAAATACAAATCCGCTTTATGTTAAAATAACTATAATAAATATTTATTATAATTTTAGTAAAATGAGTTTATATGCTTGATCTTGTTTGAAAGTGTAAAAAGTGAAAATCAAAAACTACATAAACCAAAAACTTATAACAATAGATTTAAAAAAATAATTGAAGGATATCTGTATGATTTAAGTTTGTTATAATAAGTAAAATTTACTAGTTTACAAAACTATATAGGTTCTTTAAGTATCTATTTTCTGAGGTTTTTGTAGGTCACAACCATTATATGGTAAATCTACAGTTCAGCAGTATAAAACAACTTTATTTTTTTGCTTGTTGTGCTTTTGTGTTAAGACTTGCTTGAAATATTCATTGGCAATATACACATTGACAATATTATAGCCCGCTGTTACATTAACTGTTTTATAGCCTGCTACTACAAGTGTTGCTACTTCGACTATCTTATAGTCCGCTGTTACATAGAAGTGCTGCTACATTGACTGAGGGTTTGGCATGGGGCAGCTATCTTTTTTAATTTATTATTTTAATCAATATTCTTAATGATTAAAAGCCTCCTCTTACTAGAGACTGTTTACTGTAAATTTACCCCCATAAAGCTTCAAGAAAAAAAAAAAAAAAAAAGCACAGCCATTATTTTTTACAACATAGAATAAAAAAGCAACAATAAAAATGTTTGATAAACTTTATATTGGAAATTATGACATTGCATATTGACCTTTTTGGAAACATCATTGCCAATAAAAAAAAAATCAGTTAATGGCATTGATTTTTTTTATTGACAATGATTTCTTTTATTGACAATCAATTAAAATTGACTTGTTAACTGATTAATAGTTAGTCTCACAATTAATCTGAGTAAACATGCAGAAAAAAATTTAATAAGTTAAAACTGACCTGTGAGGGATGTCTAAACCGCCATCAACAGCACCTTTTAATGCACCAAAAACTCGAGCACCAGTTGTTGTTCGTTTTAAACCTACGTCAAGATAGCATCGGAAAGCATGAGGACCATCACTTACTGATTCAACATTATATTCAGCGCCATCTACTTCCTTTTGACCAGCATATGTTTCGTGCAAATTAAACTTTAATAATAATCTTCTGGCTAACAATAAACCAGTACAATAAGCAGCAGCATAATTAGTTAACCCGACCTTAACGCCATATCTTGGGAGCTCATGAGAGTATGCAGCACACACTATCACGTCTCCTTCGATTTTGGCGTAGGCTATCTGGCATGCAATATCTTTGTTCGTGAATCGTACAATAAGACGATATTTTGGAGTGTTATATTTGTTTTTGTCTTGTGTTACCAATCGTTTACGAGCATAATAATCAGTTTTGCCCTCTCTTCGTCTTTTGAACTTAACTTGAAATCTTTTAAAGTAAGCTTTATTTTTGATAACTTTGACAAAACCCTACAAAAAGGAACGAAAACTATATTAGACATTCGCATGAGTATTCGCATTGAAATCTATAAAAATCCCATTAATCACTACTTTAGATAAACCATAACGAGTATATAGCTTATTTTTAAAGACTCCTGATTCTAAATATTGATTTCATTCGGAATACTAAGAAGTAATTGTACCATATTCACAAATTTGATATAGCCAGGTAGCTTCGGTTATGGGGCAACCTATGCAAAAAGGAATGTTACGGTGAAAATTGCTGACTTGCGGTTCGCAAAACGGCTTATTTAGTAAAATTACAGACTGCCCATTTCTAACTCAAAATTAAGTATCATAAATAATTTATGATTATAAAATATAAGTATTTTTAAAATTAATTTTCCTTTTAAAAAAAAATTAACATTTTTAAATTCAAATAAAAAAATAAAAATGTATGAAATTAAAAAAAAAAAATAATTAATAATATGGAAAAGTAAAATAGGAAACCACTCACGTGGTAAGAAAATAACGTTACCTTACCGATGCTTGTTTAAAAAGCGAAATTATAAAAAGATGTTTTGCGAAATTATTACTCTGAAAATATTTTTTTATTTATTTTGTAAACTATTTCTTTTTTAGAAATACATAAAACGTTTAAAATATTATCCTAATTTACACCTTTTGGCTAAATGATTTTGATATACTCAAAAAAAGTTGCAGTGAAAATAATTTTCACAGGTTTCTAAATATATTGATAATCAATAAATTTAGAAACTTAACTATTAATATATATAATCAATTTGATATATATATATATATATATATATATATATATATATAATATATATATATATATATATATATATATATATATATATATATATATATATATATATATATATATATATATATATATATATATATATATACACATATTCGTTATTGGTTTGATTGTTATATTTATTAAGAGTCTTAAATAGAACTACAATCTATGATAGACTTATTGTAAGAGGTAGAAGTTCCTTAACAAATCTATATACTCTTCAATGTTGACAAAAAAAAAGTTTATGCCTGTCTTAGCGTTCTCTGCGACATTTCTTTTCTAACAACTTTGTGGCATTTCTAACGTTTCTTTTGCAACAACTCCATACAATATTAGAACCATTCCATGTTGTTCTTGTTATAACTTCAATCATCTTTGATCTGAAAGTTTTTAAAATGCCAATTAAAAGTATTACTTTTTTCTGATCAGTTCTAAAAAGATCTAGTAGCGTTAGGCTTGGTGTTAATATTATAGTAAATCCAGTAAAACAGTAAAGAAATGTATTACGTGCCAAGTGTTAATAATATAGTAAATCCAGTAAAACAGTAAAGACATGTTTTAAGTGCCAAGTTTCCGAGTGTATAACAAACTTGGTTACAAATAACCAAGTGCTACATTATTTTGCTAAATGTTTTTATTTTGCATATTTCTGTATACAATTAAAATTGTGTTCTTTGTATTAGAAGTTATAAATTTTAGTGCTTTAAAACTATAATAAAAATTAGTTTTAAGTATTAAATACTTTATTTATTGAACATTTAAATTTGAAAAAACTAATTATACAGCACTTTATGTTTTTCATTTATAATTATTTTTCAATTAAAAGATGACATTTTATTTTTAGAAAATAATGAGTGACTCTAAAAATGTTGACTTGAAACTTTCAGCATCTTTAACTCGTTTTGGTTTAAAAGGACGTGGTGGTATAAGTACTGCAAGGTTGCCATCTTTAAAGCCTGCAAGAGATTTAACACTAGGAGGAACACCAAAGCGTACTTTTACACCAAATATTGTTGGGCGTTCAATCAAAAAGGAGGAAGTAAGTGAAACAAAAACTGATTTCAGTCAAAAAAGAGGAGGACATTTTAATCAAGGTAGAGGACGAGGAAGAGGGCGAAATGAAATTATTGCTTCATCAGGAATTTTTAGTCAAGGACCAGCTACTCAGCAAACATTAGCTCGAGCATTAGGTGGTGGAAGTTGGAGTGGAAACAATAGTTCAAATGACAATCCAAGTAGTATCAAATATGAAATAAAGTCGAGCAAAGGTTTTCAAGAAGATGATTTTGAATCAAACAAAGTATTAGATATACTCAATGAAATTGGTGAAATAGAAATGAAAGATACAAAATCTGGGTTTATGGTTCCAATAACACTTCCTCTTTCTTCAAAAGTTTTGCATGAGGTTAAATCTGAAGATGAAAGCGAAGAAGTAAAAGTTGCAACAGCAAAAGACTTTAAAAGCATAAAAAAAAAGTTTAAACAATCTTCTCATAAGAATGAACTTTTTCAAAGTGAAGTAAAAATAAATGATTTGTTTAAATCTGACAGTTCTAATGGAGATTTTTTTTTCTTTCAATTTCCTGATGCTTTACCTATAAAACCTATATCTGATGATGGTGCCATGTTAAAACCTGAACAAGATAAGAATATTATTTCAGCAGAAACCATTGTGACTGAACAGTTAAAAAAATTCACTTTTCAAAATGTTTCTGAAGGTTACATAGGAAAACTACTGGTTCACAAGTCTGGCAAAGTTAAAATGCATTTAGGAAATGTTTCTTTTGAAATCATGCTAGGCACTCCATGTGGCTTCTTGCAAGATCTTGTATCAATTAATGTGGAGAATGATCCAGGGGAAATGATATGCTTAGGTCATGTAAATCACAGGTTAATAGCTGTTCCAGATTTTGAAGCACTTTTAGGAAGCTTAGTTACTTAATTACTTTTTTAAATATGTATTTTTTTTTAAATTTGTTTTTGCTTTATTGGTACAGTTTTATATTTTTAAACATTGCTTACTTTATACACGTGCAATAATTTTTGTTTAATTGGTGTTGATTAAAATAAAATAAAAATACACTCATGCTTAAATAAAATAAAAAAACACACATCTTAAAAATAAAAGTACACCAATTACAGTGACACACTATTTATTTAACTTGAACACATATATGGACAAAAAGATTTAACTATTTTTATTATTAGGTTATATAGCTTATAAATGCCAAATATGCATGCTATTAACACACAGAGTAATTAAGTGATAATTGCGTAGTTAATCCATTTTAAGTTCACAAGTTCTTACTAAACTGCTTCCTATGTGAGTGCACCCACAGTTTAAAAGCAGATTTAATGCAGCATAGTACAAGTGTATATTAAAGTCCTTTCTCCAAGGATTTATATGTGATAATGTTTTAGTAGTAGAGCCCTCACCCCCTTAGCAAGAAGTTCCAAGCTTGATCCCAACCACATCCCTGGTAGTACCACACTCAACTTGTTTCTCAGCGCAGTGGCCTTGTTTGTGAAGGTTTGTGTTTTGGAGATATAGAGTTAGGAGATGGTTGTAACCATAATAAAGTAGCCTCCTTGACTGTTGTGGCCTTCGTGGCCTTTGGGAGGTGAACTAACATCAAAATTTTTTTTAAGTTGTACCATTCTTGTACCAATGTTCAGTACCTTTAGTTGTACCAAATTTTTCGATTGTACCATTAAAGCCACACTTTTTTCAAAAAAAAAGTAAATTATTATTTCCCAAAAAAGCCCCAAAAATTTCCCATAAAGCAAAATTTCAAAACAAAATTTGAATATTAAAATATGGTTACATGTTCTCAGTAATAGTGCAACTTAAGCAGTTTGCAGCGCAGAAAGTCAGATTTTGCCAGCCAACAACCTCATGCTAAATACAATGCATCTAATTTTATGCAATTTTGAAAAAAAAGGATCTCACAGCATGGGTCTCACAGTGTCTGTTGAACTTTAATTCAGATAAAACTCATTTTTTTTCAGCCAATCAAAATCGCAATAATTTAGACCTTCCTATATTTATGAATGGTAATGTACTCGATGAGTCATCTACTCTTCATCTTCTAGGATTAACTCTTTTGATCTTTCTTGGAAACCATATATCAAATCCGTTGCAAAATTAGCATCTGCTAAAGTTGCATCTCTTTATCAAGCTCAACACTTTCTTATTCTGGATTCTATTCTCTATCTCTATAAATCTCAAATCTGTTCTTGTATGGAATACTGTTGCCATATCTGAAGCAGATCTTCTAATGATGCCCTTTCTCTTTTAGACAAGGTGCAAAAATGCATTGTAAACATAGTTGGATCTGCTCTTGCAGCCAACCTTCAACCATTTTCACATCTTCGTAATGTTGCTTCTCTTTCTCTTTTCTACAAATACTATAATGGGCACTGCTCTAAAGAGCTAGCGTTTCTTGTGCCATCTACTAAAATTCACTCTCGTGTTACTTGTCATTCAATTAAGCCTCATCCTTTTTTTGTTCCTGTGTGCTACAAAAACTCTAATTCATCTAGTTTTTTTCCTCAAACATCAGTTCTTTGGAATTCGCTTCCTTCATCTTGCTTTCCTGATTCATATAATTTGCAATCTTTTAAGTCATCTGTCAATTGTTATCTTGCTCTACAATCTTAATCTTTTCTCTTCGAGTAACTTCCAACACTAATTAGTGGTTGCTTGCAGCCTTGTTGGAAGCAAAGATGTTAGAAAAAATAAAATAATATATAAGGTTATGTTTGTGTGTTTATATATATATATATATATATATATATATATATATATATATATATATATATATATATATATATACGAACGCATATTTCAATAAGCAGTTTAATATCACACTGAAATACAGAGATACTGGGAAGTACATACATTGACTGACTAAATAGAAAGAGTATGCAATAGAGTGCAACTATATCAACAAAATGTTTGGGCAGCTACCATTGTTTCTTTTTTTTTTTTTATTTCTTCTTTTTTTAAAAAAAACATAATTTGGTATATATATATATATATATATATATATATATATATATATATATATATATATATATATATATATATATATATATATATATATATATATATATATATATATATATGTACTTACTTTTCTTTAACTATGCTCGTATAATTTAAAATGATAAATTAGTGTTTGTATAATTTGATTTTTCACAGTTGACTAAAATAAGAATTAAAAAAAAAAAAGGAAAATGTTCTGATGAAAAAATAACATGATTACAAAATGCCCATGAAATTCAAAACATTAAAATGTGCAACATTGAATTTGTGGAAAATAAACACGCCTATTGGACACATAGAAATTACTTGTTGTGAAAGCGGATTACATTCAATCATACAAACAACTGTTGCATCACCACCTGATCTTAGGTAAGTTTTGTTTGAATCATTTTCTTTATTATGTTGTTATTATTTATTATCAAAAAATAATATCCAGTATTTTTTCTTCTTCCTATTCTTAGGGCTTAATTCTCCATGATATGCCTGGCTGCATCATTAGAAAGAGTGATTTACTTTTTTTTTTTTTTTATAAATTGACTGAGTGATAGGGTTAGGGCAGGCGTATGAAGGAGTTATGCTGTTAAAAGCATTTTAATACTGAATACTTTATTAATACTTTGCCAAAAAAATCTAATAAAGTATTCTTCTAATAAAGAAAATTACCCAGCGTGTTTTTTTGTGCTTGTAAAATCAAAGTTTATTGTTGATTAGCATGTTTTATGCATATTTTTCTTTGAGAGCCAAGTTTAGCACTACAAGTTAATAGCAATAGCAATAGAAAAACTTTTTTTATCTTTTATACATGTCACTTTTTTTATAATTGCAATGAAGTAGTATCTAGCAGCACACTGTTAGACACAACATCATAATTGTTGTTTGACTGCCTAATATTTTTTGTTTGCATTTGATTGCAATTTTTTTTTATTACAGTTTCTCGTTGATCTTGGAGATCTTCCATAAAGTATGTACACAGGTATGAGGAGAGGTTTCCCCAAAACATACAAATACGTATAGGGGCTATTTTAAGAAAATATTTTGGGCAACGGTAACCCCCTCCTTCATTGTGCCATTGCCTGCGGTAAAGAATTTGCCTGAAACATTGCTGTATGTTGGCATTTTTTCGCAAAAAAAAAACAAACAATATTTGCTGTATATATATATAAAAAGTGTCTCAATTTCTGAATTAGGGCAGCGCCCAAATGTCACCAACTATTCAACACTGTCAAAAAGGGTCTAGAATAGCGTAATAAAAATGATTATTTTAACAATTTTGTACTCAACAAAATACTATCCTTTAATAGTATTTCTTAATATGCTTTATTAAAAAAAAAAAGTAAATTATATATGGAAACATTAAAGTATTATATATATATTGCTTTTTATTATATTTTTATACTTATATTTTTACAGTTTAAACTGAGTTTAAGTTGTCTATACAAACCAAAAACTCTCATTCTAGTTTAAACTGAGTTTAAACATAAACCAATATTTTAAATCAGTTTAATTAAACAAGTTTTATTGTTATCATAATGTATTTATAATAAATTTATAAAAAATATTTCACAAGTCAAATAAATAACAGAGTAAAAGATTTGTAAAACCCGAGTAAGAGATTTGTAGAGATAAAGAATGGAATCAGGAGAAACAAAATGGTGAGTGAAGCAAATTAAGCAGATGCTAACTTTACAATCAATTGTATTTATATTTTTCATGAGAAGTCAGTAGTGAACGATAATCCAAGAAGATGTAAAGAAGAGGACTCAGTGAGAGGGTAGCTATTTATCAATATAAGAATGTTGACAGTTTTGTGCAATTTTTTGCATTAAATAACTGAGTTTTGTTGGAGTTAAAATCAGATTTAAGATTGGCTGCCTGTTCCAAGCAATCCAACTGCAATTGTCTAGAGAGGAGTTTAAAGTTGAATCATCAGCAAATAGAACCACTTTAAATGTAAGGTGGTCAGGAAGATCATTAATGTATATAAGCAAAACACGCCTACGAATAAAAACTCAAGAAAGAAGAGTGGAAGAGCCTTCATGGATGAATTTAATAACATCATTAAAAATAAATTATTTTAGATACACCATATGAATCAAGCTTATGGAGAAGACCAATATGCCAAACTTTGTCGAAAGCCTTAGATATGTCAAGACCAATAGCCCTAACTTCTCTGCCTCCATCTAATTGCACGATAAAATCTTTTAGTCACAGGAGTTAGCAAGTCAAAGGTAGAGTGAGTGGATCAAAAACCTTATTGATTGCCTAACAGTAAGTTATTTGACTCAAGATGGGATGTGAGAAATTTGCTTATTAAAGACTCAAAGTTCTTGCTAATAACAGATAGAAAACTGATCGGATGATAGTTGAAGGGGTCAGAATGTTTTCCAGAGTTTTTCAAAATTGGAACTATAGATGCCATTTACCAGCAGGCAGGAAAATGAGATTCAGTCAATCATTTATTAAATAGTTTAGAGAGAATTAAAAAAAGTTCTGGAGAACACTTTTGTAACACTATGACAGGAATGTTATCTTTTACACAAGTCGTTGGAGAGTTTGATTGAGATATCACTTTAGCAATGAAAGCTGGAGTAATTTAAATGTCTAACAATGGATTAACCTGTTTAACTGAAATTAAAGGAAGAGTATGACCATAAGCTGACTTGGACAGGAATGACAGTTACAGTGTGCGATTGCACACTGTAACTGTCAGTTACAGTGTACGATCAATATATATAAAAAAATATTATAAGCGTGGTCAGTTACAGTGTGCGATTGCACACTGTAACTGTCAGTTACAGTTTACAATCAATATATATAAAAAAATATTATAAGCGTGGTCAGTTACAGTGTACGATTGCTAGGGATTGCAATCTCGCATTGCGTGATCCTGCAATCCCGCGGGATTCCACATTTTTTTAGTGCATACAAGATCCCGCAAAAACTACTGCGGGATCCGCGGGACTTGCAGGATCCACGGGATTTGCGGGATCCGCAGGATTTGCTGAGTTTTGAAATTATTGCTTTTAAATAAAAAAAAGCAATTCTATAAACAAAGACAAAAATAATTAAAGTATTTAATGTATTTGCATAACAGATTCATTTAAAAGTTTACTAGTCATTAAATGCACAATAAAATGTATACTGAGAAACTCGTTCAAATTTTTTTTTGTTTTGTTAATGATTAGTCATAAAATAGTCATTAAGTGCCCAATGAAATGTATACTGAGAAACTCGTTCAAATGTTTTTTGTTTTAATGACTATGTTGAAATTTTTGCTTATGAGTATATTGAAATTTTTGTTGATGAGTATGTTGAAAACGTTAAATTGAAAACGTGATTAATTAAAAGCGCACTACTTTTTAAAAAGACTTCAAAAATTATTTACTTCAAGATTTTAAAACAAAAGTACCTACTAAGCATGTCGCAAATTAAAACTATATGGAGTTATTGAACTAGAGTCTAAAATAAACATCGCCTGCAAAGACGAAGAGGTAATTCTATCAAAAAAGGTCAAAACAATGGACACGTTTTTCGTAAAAGAACTTTCTATGGAAAAAATGGTATCGCGCATGGTTGCTAAAGATGGCTTTACATTTAATAGTTTTTGCACATCTTCAGATTTGTGGTATTTGTTTTCAAAGAGTGGTTTCCGGCTCCCTACTTCTCCTAATACTATAAGATCGATGGTAGTAAAATTCTCAGATTCTGTAAAAGTCGATATAATGCAAAAATTTATATCACTAAAAAAGCTAAATCAAAAGTTTTCAATAACATTTGACGAGTGGACATCACAAAATAGTCTGAGATACCTTAACTTAAATGTACATATGGAGGCGAAACACTTTAATCTTGGATTGATTCGAATCCATGGATCGTGTAATGCAGAATATTGCGTCAAGTTAGTTGCAGGAAGGCTAAATAGCTTCAATATCGACCTCCAAAAAGACATTATCACCATGACCACTGATGGAGCAAGTGTGGTATTGAAAGTCGGTAAAATGATGTCTTGCTATCATCAACTATGTTATGCTCATGAAATACAACTTGCAGTTATTGATATCTTATACAAGAAAAACAACAGAGAAGTTGAAGAATCGTTTACTACAAATGAAAATTGCGAAGAAGATGAACATGAGAACACTGATGATGATGAAGTTATAAATAAAGAATATGGTTTGACAATAATTTTGAACCAACCATCTGCTGAATTGGTTAGCAGTTACAAAGATCTCATGAAAAAAGTGAGAAAGGTTGTGATATTATTTAAAAACTCTCCTGTCAAAAATGATACATATTTACAGAAGTATATCCTACATGAACACGGCAAAAAGCTTAAGTTGATTCTTGATTGTAAAACTAGGTATACAGTATGTTCGATATGTTAGAAAGATTTCATAGACTAAAAGTGTGTATTGAAAAAGCCTTAATTGATGTTGGGTCAGAAATTCAATTGACCCAAGAAGAATGGTCCTAAATTAATGACTTAATTATTTGTCTGGCACCACTAAAACTTGGTCTCCAACTATTATGCAGGAGAGAATCGAACCTTGTCACTGCGAAAACAACTTTTAAATTTATGTTAGATAAATTACAAAAGCAATTATCACTTTTGAGGATTGATTTAGCTGCGGCAATTTGTGAGAGGTTTACGCAGCATCGTAGTAAGAATTTAAATGGACTACTGGCTTACTTACAAAATCCTAAAAAATATGAACAAGAAATTAAAAAAAATGAAAATACTTTTTCAATGCCAAAGAGAATCATTATGCGTCAAGAAATAAAAAAAATATTGACAAGAGTTTATACAATTGAAAGAAATAAAGATGAAGAAAATGAACTCGAAGAAAAAGAAGCTGTAGATTCTATTAACAATTCCCAAATACTTACTCCTACAATTCTATTGCTGAAAAAAGAATTGGAAAATCATATACAGAAAGACAAGAAAAGCTGGACAGAAAATTTAAAGGAGATACCAAATTTAGATTCTTTAGACTTTGATAAATTATTGAAGCAGGAAATGTCTGCCAATGAAAATAACGGAGTAAGAGGCAAGTTTTTAGATATAGCTCATAATTACTTGATGACCATATCACCAACAAGCGTAGAGGCTGAACGAGCTTTTTCAGCTGCTGGCTATATATGCATTCCTTTGAGGAATAGATTATGTGATGATACTTTAAGTAAGGTCTGTTTGTTAAGAGCGCATTTCTTACAATGATACTTTCTCATACTTATTTTTAAAAATAAGTAAAGCTAAAAGACACTCTACGTAAAGCTAAAAGACGTTTTACGTATTTTTATCTTATCCTTTTGTTCATTAAATTAAGAATTATATTGATTAACAAATGAATTGTGTTTTTGGCTTCATT